GTTGATTGCTCGTTCTAGTTAATTCCTTTTGATTTTGCTTGAATATGCATATTTTATGAGTATGGTTGATTTATTGGAATTCATCCATAAGTTTTCAATACCTCACTATACCATTTATAGTTTTACCAAATGAAAATTGGGATATGTAGGCTGTAGAAACGGGAGCTTTTATATAGGCTGCTTTGAGTCGTTAATTTGCACTTACGTTTATGGCATCACTTTAATAATTTTCTTTTTAGTCTTAGCTTTCCTCAGAATTTCTATTCATATGTAGGCAATTTGTGGAAATGCCATCGGTTAATTGGCCAGAGATGGCTGACAACTGGTTTGGAGGTTGCTGTTGTTCATTTGGAGGTGCCAGTGAGAAGTTGGTGAATAGGTATGCACATGCATATGCATGTCCAATGGGTGTGTGCATGTTGAATTCTACAGCTGTTACACTTTGCAGTGATGATCTTGCTGGATGTAAATTTTCTGAAAAATATAGAATCCAAACGTGCAAGCCTGAACAGGAGCCTGGCAATGAAGGTTTAAGTGAAGAAGCTATGCGTGATTTTGAAACAGAATCTGGAAGAGCTACAAGGTGTGACAGTCAATGCGGAGTGATCCATGGTGTAAATGGAAAATCAGGGTCTTCATGTTCCAAATTGGAAAACCATGGTGAGAATGTCAAATTTAAAGTTGCAGAGGAAAAAACTAATAGTAGTATATTATTGTCTGCACTAGCAGCATCAGATCTCTCTGAAAAAGTGGCTCCAGGTCCAGGTTGTTGTGATTCAGTACATCATAATCAAGATTATACTGATGAAGGTGGAATCCATGATGTGTGTGGACCTTCTTTGGAAGACCAGAAAACCACAAAAGATATGGAACTCAGGATAAATCAGAGATCTTTCCTCAATGGCTTTCTTGGAGATGCTTTCATTGCTAGATCCTATAATCTATCTACCGATATTGAATGGAAGCAATTTGGTTGCCCACAGTGCTCATCTCTTATTGGTGCTTATCCATGTGCAAATGGGGACATGCCTGTAGATGATGGAGTTAGACTTTTTAAATGCTACATTTCCACTTCTCTGCCAGTTGGTGGACCAGCTGACCTTTTCAGGTACATGGTTGCTGTACTTTCTTAATATTTTTCCGCACTTGTGCATTCCTAGCTAATTAGAAATCACAAAAAATTATCTAGTGAATCTAAAGGTTTATATATGGGATATAGCAGCCTTGAGCTTCAAAAAAAAAAGTTAAATTGATCATCCTGAACAGGAAATATACTCTGGAGAGAATGTTCACAAGTCAGCTAGTGGAAAGTGCAAAAGATGAATTATCATTCAGGACTGTGGTCAGGGATTTGAGAACAAAATCTCCCATGCTTCAGATTGTCCTTGTAAACCCAAATTCATGGTGCTGCAGTGGTGATTGTTTGGACACAGAGAGCAATACAGATTCAGTTTTGAAGTTAGATCTACACCCTGTTATCAAGGTTCTGTTTTCAGATTGTAGCAGCAATACAGAATCGCAACTGAGGTTGGTCTCCTAATTAATATCTTTGGTTGTTTGCTTGACAGTCTTTTCTAGTAACCGAAGAATGCATGGCTGTATTCTTGATGGTGGTGATTCAAAATAAACAACCAAATCTCGATAAGACTCCTGGTAGAATCTTGAATATGTGCTGGATTATACAACCCCAAAGTGCACGCACACACAAATAAGAAGAAAAAAAAAGTTGACTTGACAAAATTTTTAATAATTTTGGTTGCCAGTCTGGTAGAGGTCCATACCATGGCAGTGAAAATATCGCCTTAAAAGACTGAGGAAGGCGCGAATCATGTCGCACTTTCTTTTATGTTAATGATTCACTTAGAAAACATCTGTTCCTTTTCTTCAAGTTGTAGTTAAAGATTGAGATTTGTGTGCAGGGCGTTGGAAGATTGGGTGACAAAAAATCAAGCAGATGAAGTTTTCATGTTGGCGCATCTAATAAAAGAGTTAATTGAAACCATAGCATCTGCTAAAGTTGAATTTCCGCCATCATGCACTTTCCTTCAGGGTTTATCCTTTTCGTCCATGCCAAGGTAATATGATCTCATTTTTGGAAGCTAGGAGTTAGGAATTCAAGCGAATTCAACTGGAAAATTAGAATGCAATCTGTATTTAAAATGGCAGGCAGGAAATGGTCCTGCTTGATTCAAGAAGAAAATCATTTCATCTTCCTTGTCATTATCCTCCTCTGCTGATTCTTCCTCCATATTCAGAAACTCGATGAGACTTTCTATAGCACCTTGCGTTTTGTTACATTTCTTAAGTTGCTGTGATACTTCTGCTGGGGTAACTGATATCCTCTGAATTAGATCTTCAGTGCACTTGAAAAACCCATGGTCTTCAATTCCTAGATATGTCAATGCAAGCAATGCTGGGTCTAGTCTCTCTCTGTAGTTGGTTGTGAAGATATGATGATTCTTTCTTCTCCAAAGCTTGACAGCATGTCATCGATGCAGTTCAACAAGCCTCATGGTGTTACCTACGGTGTTTCAGGGATTTTTTTTTTTTTTTTTTAAAAAGAGAAAATGTAAATGATTCAAAATTCGGATGATGGATGTATAAAACCTACAGAAGTAGTAATGGTTATCAAGTTATTCATATTTTCGGTTCTTATTTAGAGGTTAAACACTAATACAACTAGATTATAGCCTTCGCATTCCTAATCCTCTCCCTTATTGGGAGAGAACAATATTTGATTTTAAATCCCTGGGACGAGAACTAGGGATTTTACCAAGCTATGAATTAAGAACAGTACTTGTTATAGAAGCAAGTGGGGCAGTCCAATGCCTGAAAGGAAAATAACAACACTATTGCAGACCCGATTATTCATGAAATCTAACTAATGGATTTCAAAGAGATAATTTGCCTACAAGAAAACCAGAAAGACAGAAAAAGGAAAGAGATAAATGTTGGGAGACAATTACTTGGCCTCTTCTCAAGAAATTGATGCAGGAGATTCTGGTCGAATGCAGTTTTTAAACATAATTTCTAATCTAATTGTTAGATCATATTAAAAATTTACCATGAAATTTTATTATAGCTACTTGAAATTATGTCGATAAAACATTCAAATTAGATCCGAAAGTTAATGTTAAAGAGTGGTTATATTTTCCTAGTTAATTTATGTTTTTTTAGTCCTAGTTTAGAATTATTTCATTATTTTTTATGTTTTTTTTTCTAATGAAATATGTTTATATGACTTTCTTCAAGGTTGGAATCCTTCTTTCTATCTATTTTCCTCAAACTAACAAAATTAATAACTCAACATGATTTATATCTAGATTGGTCTCTTGAGATTTTAAAAAAGTCTCAATCAAACACTTATCAATTCATCATATTAAATTTCATAAAACTTCTCTCACCAAAATCTAGAAAAATCACCATAAATATTTATTTTGACCACACATAATTCAAATATTAGCTTAATCATCAAATAAGAGATCATTTTTTACAAATTTATTATGATCAATAACTATTAGTGTGATGGCTTTAATTATACTCTTGAACTTTAACTAAAAGAATTTCAATTATGATTTGGCCATAAATATAGTTTATTAATTTTGTTATATTAAATTTTATGTTTTGCACAACTAAAGCATTTTTCTATTTATTTTTTCTCATGAGTGATAATATTAAAAGATGATACCAACTAAATTCATAATAGACTATGACCACATTATTTCTTTCTTTATTCCATATCATTCATAAAAGGATTCAAGATGAATAATTAAAAATTATATTATGCTAGAAAAATAAATAAACATTCATAGAAAATTATGTGATGATATTCCTCCAACAAGATAAAAGAATTTTTGCCTAGACTCCTATAGAAGACTGTAATGGAAAAAATTTTAAGGAAAAATTTTCGCAATCGATGCAAAACCCTCTATTTCTTTTACCAAATCTTCTAATTGTTGCAAAACAACTAGAAATAAATTCTTTAACCATAAAAAAAATTGGAGAGGAATTGAACCTCCATACTTTTAGCCATCAAAGTATCTTTAAGGTGAATCGTCCATGAATATAATATCTATCTAGTATGATGTCTGGAATAGATAATAAAGATGAAGTGTTGGAGTATTTTTATTAATCTCCATGTTATTAATGGATTGATTATAAATCTTATTAAAATTCAATATAGCACCTTGGAGTATTCTAATTAGTCTCAAAATGAAGTCTTATATAATTTCATTTTATTGATACTTTTCTAACATTCAAAGTTTATTAATTTTGAGAAATCTAATACTACAAAAATATAAAGTATAATTGTAAGTGAAAGGGTAAGATTGTTGATATGTTCTTGAGGAAGGAATATTTACCGATTAATATATTTTAAAAAACCTTAGGGGTCAATTAAGAATATAAAAAAGGTCACATCATCAATTTTATTTTGTTAGCGTAATAAAAGGAGATAGATTGAAAGGAAAAAGGAAAGAAAGTATAAACCTAATTCGAAAAACAATATTGTTAGTATGTTTTAAGAATGAGTGCTTGATTGATTTTTCAAAAAAATTTAAAGGATTAATTATAATATAAACAGTGTGAAATCATCAACAGAGTCCATCGAATGAAAGTCTTAAAACCATATAATAGATGACCTAATGATAAGAGTTTAAGATCAAGATGTTTATTTCTCATGTGATTTCAAGTTTGAGTCTTATAATTGTTAATGTAATAATCATAAGAAATTTACATAGTTATTAACTTCATGATCTGTGAAATTAATCAAGGTACATCTAAATCGGCCCGGACATTTATGTTAATTAAAAAAAAAATCTTAAACAAAGTTTAGGGTGGAAATTATAATCAAGAAGGAAAATTGAGAAACCATTCAACCTTCATGGGATAAATTAAAATTTACAGAGAAAATGCTAGTACATTAATCAACATAATTATTTTATTAAATTGAATATTGTTTTGTTATTAAACTTAGTCAAACCACTAACCAGATCTTGAACTAGATTATATAACGGTTGAGTTTCATTACCATGTTAAAAACCCTTTGATCATTGAACACGTTTCACAATGCAACAAGAGCTATCTCACAAAAGGAAAATCCAATAAGTAGGGACTAAGACATTACTTGATGGAAGCAAACAAACCATCTTGCTAGGTCAGGTAAATGGATGTCGTTAGAATCTTGGATTGTTTCACATCCTGTTTCATGCTTTCAATTCTACACTTCACGACCTCTTCTTTTATGACCTCTTCTTGATCCTCCTTTTTAGCCCCATTATCCATCATTTCAGTAGTCTCCTTCTGATTTATAAACTCAATTAGACTTTGAAGTGCAACCTGGGGATTGTCACATTTCATAAGTTGCTGTGCAACTTCTGCTGGGGTAATAACTCTACCATGAATGAGATCTTCAATGCATTTGAAAAGGACATGCTCTTTAATCCCAAGATATGTAGAGGCAAGCTTCTTGAATGCTGCGGGAGTACAATGTCCCATGTAAATATGAACATCCATTCGTCCTGGGCGCAACAATGCTGGGTCCAACTTCTCTTTGTAATTTGTGGTGAAAATGATTATTCTTTCATCCCCACAGCTTGACCATAGTCCATCAACGAAGTTGAGTAAACCAGATAAGGTCACCTTTGAGAAGATTTAAAGAAAAATATGATTTATTCGATATGGAAAAATGGAAAACTCGGAGGCAATATGGCATCAATGTGATTAATAAATCTTTTTTCCAGATATATTCTAGTTAATTTGATCTAATCTGATTAATCATTTCTGGCATAAAGTTATCTGTGAAGTCTAATTAGTAAAGCTGTGAAGGGTTATAAATAAGTTAATTCCTAATAAGATAAACTTGGGAGATAAATTCTTTCAAAACTCACTTACCCCAGGATCAAAAGAAATCTTCTTATCACGTTGATCATCATCATCTTCCTCACCATCTTCCTTTGGATTCCTTGTTTGATTGCGGGAACGTGAATTTTTTGTACTGCAATCAATGTCCTCAATAAGAAGAATTGAGCGATTGGTTGTGGAGGTGAGTATCCTCCTGAGTTGAGAGTCATTTCTTACACCTTGGAGCTGGAGATCATAGATGTTGAATCTTAGATAGTTTGCAATGGCAGCAACGAGAGTGGATTTTCCAGTCCCTGGTGGACCATGAAGAAGGTACCCTCTTTTCCAAGCTCTACCAACACTCCGAAAGTATTCCTTTCTTTGCACAAACAAGTCAAGATCTTCAGTTATGAACTTCTTCAGGTCAGGGTCCATTGCTATAGTCTCAAAAGTAGCTGGATGCTTAAACACTGTAGATTCCCACATAGAATCTTGGGTATGATAAGTATAGATGTTGAGGGTCTCCCTCTTGTCCAAGATTGAAGCTGCAGTCTTGCTAATGTGTGGCAAGTAGCTTTGCATCACATGTTCTCTGTAGTTCTTTTTGCAATTCAACTGGAAGTATCTTTTCTGGCGATAGGAGTACTTTTTCGCTTCTTTCTCACAGAGTTTCCATTCAAAATGCATACCTTGAAAAACATCAATTACTTTAGCATCAACGGGAATCCCTGGTTTAGGTGGGGCAGTGATGTTGTTCGTGTCACTGGTACCTAAAACAAGGCTTTCGGTGGAATGGCCGATTTTGGTTGGAAGATAGACCTCAACAGCTCGAAAGGTTTCATTATCCACAGCTTGCCATCGGTCTTCAATGATGAAGGTGAACTCTGAGGAGAAGTAGGCAGCAAAGAAATCTGAGAACTTCGTAGCTATGTAGTCACGCATACCCCCTGGAATCATTTCATTCAAGATGGTGCGGATAAGCATGGATAAACCGGATAGGGATGCGTACGCAGAGAGAATTGTAGCCATTGAGGGCAATTCCTTCAAGAGAGAAGCCATTTTGGATTGTGAAGAGCAAGCAAAGAACGATAGAAGACCGATCACTTCGATGAAAAGAAGAGAGCAAGGGAACTTATAGCCAAATAAAGAATAACAATTATTGAGGGGAACTGTCCAGGATAATTAATGAAGAGCAAGAACTTCTTGGTTTGAATACGTGTCATAAGATAGGTGATTCTTTCTCGTGGCTTGTTGTTTTCTACTGTAACTTAGGTGCCGTTTGGTAACGAGGCAGGAACTGAGGTGCAGCCACAACGCAAAAATTATATGTTTGGTTACGTTTAAACGTGGGTTCAAAATGGTGGGATCCACCCTCTAATGGATGAGCCTGTGGTTGGAAAAAAGTGGCCAGCAGCTTCTGCTGACCAGCAGCAACCTCAAACAACCCACCGACACAGTAAAAAAAAAAAAACAGCCGTTGGATAAGTAGAGAGAAAGGGATTGGGCGAGACAGAAAATATATTTTATAGGGGATTCTGTTGTGCTATGTTCGGAGAAACCTCATGGAACATGCTGGGAAAAGATGGGAGAAAAGATAACAAGGAAAAAGACAATTAAACATAAGGTAAAGCAATGTTGACATCTTATGGTCAATTCATTCACACTTGAATTACGAGAAGAACACGAAATGGACAAGAATCTTCCTCTCTAGACACTAGGGTCTAAGCAGTTGCAGTCTTTTAAGTTCTGCGGAAGCAGTGCAGGAAGATGCTACTCTTTAGGAGTGAGTTTAGATACGTTTTATAAAAATGTTTGCCATCTTTTAAAAGCTGTGATCTTCTGTCGAATCTAGCTTTTGTTTTGCTTTCATTTCTTAAGATTCTCACTCACGCATGAATTAACGTTGGTCTTCATTACAATTACATATCATAATGCCAAAAAAGCAAAATAAATAAATAAACAAGAAACCAAACCTCATCTGCCATCTCACAAAATTGGAAAAGCTATGAGACTACCACTACTGCCACTCATTCTCGTATAAATACACCAGCTCTCGCTACAGTCTACTTAAATACACATGCTTGCCATGTCAGGACCGATGTCTTTCACCTACCAAATCAATCTTAGCTCATAACAAGGCCCATGTTTTTGCTGTAGCTCTCGAATTTTACGAGGAGCATAGCTCTTTTACCTTCTTGATCAATGAAGCCAGCGGTGATTTCAGCTTGCTGTGGTTCCAAATCTTCTAGCAACCTCGGCCTCAGACAATGTATCCCATAGCTGCGAGATTTCAGTGACATAAATTAGGATAAATTATACAAACTTCCTCATAGATATGCGCTCCAATAAATATAAAATAGGGTTTTTAAACTCACTTCCAATTTCCCCTTGGAGCCTCCAATAGCGAGCAGAAAAGGGTTGTCCTCTGAGAAGGAAACAGAAAAGATAGCTCCCTGAAAACATTCAGAACAGTGTGATTACTCGTGCTAACATCTAAAAACATGTTTAAACTGTTGGGAATTCCGACTGGTGATATACTGATATTTACTCATAGGAGACCAAGCATACTGACATAATATTTAACGTGGTTCGACAAAACCGCTTACATCCATGGGAGAAGCCATTGCATTATGTAGGGAGAGTACAAGATTTACAATAATAGAGGAAGAGGAATCATCCTCTCTTTGAGCAACTCTCAACCTTACTCTATTTCTCTCCTTTTGTGCTAAGAAGCTGTCAAACATGGTAAGGAAAGTTAGTGAAGTTGATGATCTAAACATCTAACTAGAACTGAGGATTAAAATATGAAAATGAAGATAGTACATTTGGTGCTAAAGGATTATAAGAGATTGTGCAAACAGCTTTGTCGTGTGCATGGAGGGTAAAACTTGGCTTAAGGTCAGAAGCTGATCCAGACTTGGCAGCACGGATGTCAAAACCTTGAACTGTACCATCTTCAAGACTCACCTACAAGGATATCTCAGCATTTTAGAAGATATTTCAGTACCTCGCAAATAAAACTCTATATACACCTATCATGCATTTAAAACATAGAAACAATGTTCCCCTCTGTTTCTTTGTCAAGAAGAAATAGAAGGAACTCAAAAACAGGTATAGGAAAAGCATAAATAGAAGGATGAAGCACACACCACAAATAAATGCTTATCATGCGGATCCCAGGCCAAGCTTTCAACGTCAGCTGTGACCGACCACTTGAAACCAGGATCTGAAGGCAACCTTCCATCCTTCTGCAAAGCATAAGGGTAATGACATCAAGACTAAGAAAGCTCTTAATTACCTTGACTAATTAAAGAAAACTTTCACATGGAAGTGATCTTAGAAAGAAAAGCCTTGCACCGTGAGGTATAGTGACAATCCAAATCTATAGACATCAGACTAAGCAAGCGCTATATTACCATGACTATTGAATGATCAAAGGATCCACTGAGAAGAACTTGTGGCTCATGATGATTCCATGCAACTGCTTGAACCTGTCAGCATTTGTATGAAAAGAAGAATGTAACCCATATCAATAAGCTAATAACACAGGTACCCATAATTTTTGCATCCAGTAAATTTAAATAGAACCATAAGACACAGCATAGTAAAGGGTGTTCCTTGCATTGGCTAGCACAAACAACTGCTATGACTTAGAGCTGAAAATATTCCAAAAACCCTGCTCTTATAATTCCAACAAATCTTGGAAGACTAAATTGTTTTATGAAGACAGGCAACTGGCACATTGTATGACAGTTAGATAAAAAAAAGTAACTCAACTTTCATTTGTTTTCTTTTTCATTATTAGAATTTCCTTAACAAATGTTTAGCTTTATGACAAAGGAATATTGACAAGTTATTCAATCACTAGCACGTTGATCTTTGAATGGTTCAACACCATGTCTTGCAGCATACATGTGCATACAATGTGCCTGGTGGTCATTGGGTCGAGGACACTGATAGGTCAGCACCGATGCATGAATAGTTGTAATATCCCAATGAAGGCATACCCAAGTAATAAATGAATCTGGCTTGGTTCACTATCCAAATTATATGAAAGAATAATGTGAGGCTATATTCTTGCCTTGTCTGTATGATGCTCCATGGTAATGTCACATTTTCCAGCATCCACATCCCAAATTTTGACTTGTTTGTCGGCACTAGCACTGGCAAGGATGTTCCTGTATTTATTTCAATACTTATTAGCTATCGGAGCAATCCATCAATGTTAGCAGATAGAACAGAACTAGATCGTATGAGATTCCCCAGACCTAAAATGCTTGTTCCAAGCAAGACCAAGGACAGAATCAGTGTGACTGCCTTATTTGTATTTAAGTGATGTGTTTGTATTTGTGACTTGTACGTAATTGTTTGAAAAAAAATATATATATGATTTTTTGAAAATATAAAATATATATATATAAAAATATTTCAAATCATGCATTAAAAAGATATTATATTATCATTTTAAATTAAAGTATTTAAACAAATTTTTTTTATCACACATTAAAAAAACATAATTTTTTTCTTGAGAATATATATATATATACACAGAAGAATTTCAATTCTTACATTGAAAAGATATTATGTTATTTTTTTAAGTTGAAGTATTAAAGCCAAAATTTATTTTATTTCATATTAAAAAAATATAATTTTTTTTCTTGGAAATATAAAATATATACACTAATGAATTTTAAATCTCATATTTTAAAAAAAAAATCAGGTTCATCCAAGTTGTGCTAGGTTGTTGCCCTAACCGATATTTTGTTAAATCCGGACTGCTCCAGCCACCGGGTCAGCTGAGTTTCGAGTCAACCCTTCGTGTCGGGCCGGGTTTAATAACTAGGATAAATGTAATATTTTCAGCCATGAATATAATGAAAAAAGGATAAAGATAAATAGTGATTGTTTTTAAAATTAACACATTAAAAAATTAAAAAAACATAAAAAAAATAATTTTCATAAAATCCTCCTTATAAAACTTGAAAAAATTACTATGGGGTTTACATATATTTTAAAAATATATAACATATATTTTATGAAATTATTTTTTTACTCTATATCTTGGATCAATTTATAAATCAATTAAAATTATTTTTTTAAAAAAATGGTTTTAAAGATACCTTTTACATGGCCGAATGCATTTAGAAAAATAGATTCATTTTGTTGTGAGCCTTGGGCCATTATGTTTTTTCTGCACCTTTTGGGTTCTGTTTATTTTTTTATTTTAAAAATATTTTTGAAAAAAATAAAAATATTTTATTTTTTTATTTATTTTAAATTAATATTTTTAATATTTTTAAATCATTTTAATATGTTAATATCAAAAATAATTTTAAAAAAATAAAAAATATTATTTTAAAAAACAACTATAACTAATTAATTTATAAAAGAGATGGTCTAATTTATAAACTATGTTAAAACAAACATAGTTTATGATAGTTAAGGATTGAAAATTGATTATAACTATGTTAATTTTGAATTTTGTTAGTTTCAAGTCAAACGATTGGGTTTAAAATGCCGGAGAAAAAATGATATTATCTAATATAATTATTAAATTTAGTATGTTGCGTTGATTATAAAAATTTAAGATTAAAGCTCAATTTAATCTAATTTTTAGTTGAATCGATCTTACATTAATTCAATAAAACTTAATCAACTTGCTTGGTAATATAATTAATTTAGTTAAAATTATGCTTTAGATTAATAAAAAAATAGTTTTTGAAAAAAATAAAATAATATTATTTTAATAAAAATAATTAATTATATTGATTGGATAACTCAATCCTTTTCCAATTGAATTCCCAAGGCAGACCCGACAACTATACATCATGCTACAACACCATTTGTGGACGAGCCAAAAAATACCCCAAAGGCCTCACATCTCAAGACAAGTCGTTCAACCACGCAGAACAGGAGAGAAGAGAAGCAAAATTGAGGAAGGCCATGCTTGTAACGTAAACAATTTTTAGAAGAGATGATGCAGAGTCAACGAGACCCTTTTGTAGAATCTTTACCCTGTTCATGGATAATAATAATAGTAACTGGTATGGTTCTTTTCTAATCACTAAAATATAATCATTAGATCCACTGCTGTTTTCGCATTTCATTTTTTCTTTGTTGTCGTTTCGATTTCAATTTTGTTTCAGCTATCGTAACACAAGTGCTTGTTGGCGTTGCATCGGTTGCTGCTCCGAGCTCTAACTGTTACGCTCTCGATAATTCTAGTCGAATTGTTGATTTTGTATCCTACATTCACGTTGTTATAAATTACGTTAGAAAGAAAGCTTGTTGTTTTCTCGGATTTTTGTTGATTTTCCTTAAGATGTTAATTTTTTTAGAGCAGTTGGATTGGGCATTTTTTTGAGTATGAAGGGAAGGTAATTTCGTTTTTCAATTGAGAATCTGAAGATTTTTATTTTTATTTTTATTTTTTTTGGCTATAAATTTGTATTGTGACGCAGGAAACGGACGTAGTGATTCGGTTTTGCAAAGACGTGGAGGCTAGATCCCAAACGGTTGTAGTCTATAACACCAATTTTTTTTTTTATAAAAAAATTGCTATAAAGATTGAGTACAAGTAATGATTTAAGTAAACTACTGGTGGCGTAAAAGATTGGATGATGTATAGGGAAGAATTGCATTTTGCATTAAGAAACTGTGTCAAGTGATCTTTATTTTTGCTCTGACTAATTGCACAACTTGCGAAGCTTAACCAATTATGCTACTGAAGAACAAATTTTAAACTGCACATGCAATTTAGTTTGTAATTTAATGTTTCTGTTATGCAATTGTGGTTTTATATTCTAGTGTATTTTGCTTGCATTCTGTGCAGGGATATGTGGACTTTGGCCGATTTAATAATTTCAACCACTTTGTTGCTGGCTCAGGACGTGTTGATTTTGTTCAAGTAAGGTCTTTGCTTGTAAATTATGTTGTTCTGAACTTTGTTGATGATGACATGATGACATTATGCTCTATCTCTAGCCTGCTCCTTTTCCTTAATAGGCTACATCAAATTTATCAGTCCTTAGGGGTGTGTGTGTGTTGGGGGGGGGGTGTGTGGAGAAGATGATGATACAATGCAAGAGAATGATTCTTGGCAATCCTTTCAAATGAAAAATGATAATTCAATACAAGAGAATGATTCTTGGCAATCCATCTTTCTGAATTAAATTTTTTGTTTGCATGTATGGAGTAGAGTTGCAATCTGATCCATGTCTTTTTGGCCTTCATTTTGGGAGAGGGTGTCAGTTATGTTCTCAAGATACTTGAAATGCTAGTTGCAATAGGAAAAGGTCCTATGCAATGGAAGGTAGTGCTTCCCATTTGTTTAGTAGAGGGTCAATCTATAAAGTTCTGAAATTTTGCCATTGAAAAGTCGCTTCTAGAATCCCTTCATCTCACTATCACATTTTCTCCCCGAAGGATTTCAAAAGTTTGGTTTTTGCTGATTGATGATGCTGAACGAAATAAACATTTTTTAATGGTTGGCTGACTAATTTCTATTTATCAATGCTATTTTCAACTTAGTGCTGTTATGGTGCTGCTTATTTCTGGAATTCAAAATCCAGTTGTCTGAATCTTCTAAATCTTTGTCTTTAGGGGTATTACAATGGTGACTTGCTGAATTGTGAACAAAGTTATGACAAACTGGGACGTACTGCTCAGGTCAGTTGTGATGATGTTTCTTTTCTTATTTCATAGCGTGGCACCCCCACCAAAAATAAGAAAGATAAAGTTAAATAAACATCGTGTAAATCTCATGTTTGTAACATGTATTTGTTGTAGCTTTGCATTCAATAGTGCTATTTTATTCATATTATCTTAATAAATGTCTCTCTTTTCCAATCTCAGGTGAATATTATATGTGGAAGTTGTTTAAATGGACAGTGTAAAGGTTTGTGAATGTTTCAACATCCAGTTGCTTCATGGCCATCTTGGAACTGTAAAGTGTTCGTTTTGTTGATCATTTCTTTATTTTGTTGCAAGGAAGCTTAAATCATTAGTATTCCAATGAATTGAATGAACAATAAAAAACCTAGAAATTCTGTGGAAATTAAAGACTAATAATGGCAGTCATAATTCTAGAAAATGTTTGTTTAAAGAAGGGTAATGCACCCTTAGAGTTGGTTTTGTAAATTCACAAAGTGTTTAATGGATGATTTGATTTGACATTGTTAGTTGCTGTTGCACATATCGTGGAGCTGAATGTGTATCATATACACCACAATATGCCTTTTATTTCTTTCTTACGCTTTCCTTGATGGATTCCTTTTTGGGACACCCTATATGACTGAAAATAATATAAATATTAAACTCGCAATCGCTTATTTGTTTCAAGACTATATTTCCTTGAGAGAACTCTTTTTTAATGGTTGGCTGATTTTGGAGTGCATTGTTTTTGTTGTTCTTTCTACTTATCTTTATGGTTTTTGTGTTTCTGAGTCTCTGTTGCATTGCTCGACATTCAAATACACTGTGCCATTAATTAGAGACTGGTTTCATCACCTTTTTTTTTTTTTTTGTCTCATTTCAGGTGAACTTGGATGCATATGCAATGTTACTCAGGAGTCAAGTTGCAGGTCTCTTCCAACAATACTTTGAGTTTCATTTTATTCTGCATAAATCCTTTTTTTTACTGTACCCTAGAGTTATTTTCTAGTTTACGATCCTGTTAATGGCGATATGGTTACATCAATTATTGTGAAATTAATTTCCTGAAGAGGCATGGAATTGAACTATAAGAGCCTTGATATTGAACTTTGAGGGTTCCAGGTGCAGAATTGTGTGTGGTCATGTGGGTAAAAAATGTTTGGTAGGATGTTTTGACTTATTTCACTGAGTGGGAGTAGAAATTTTCTCTGCTTATTTTGATTGATAAAATTCATGTACATTGTAAGTAGGAGAACTACCCAGTATTCAGAGAGGTGGGAAACTACCTTGTTTACAGTCTCTGTATCTGGGTTACAGATGCCCATTCCCAGGTTCCCACTATGAAATTCAAGAAGTAAACACAAAAAAGTAAGAGAATTTCATTTCAATAGTTCTGTCTGTCTGTAATTCTATATTATTACATCTTCACTTGCTGGTGGAGTAAGTTTGAACCAAAGCATATGTTTGTACATGGAAACTTTCCAAGTAATATCAATTATTTTATTTCAAGGCAATAATAAGGTCATATCAGAAAGGTTTAGGTACAAGGCTGTCTTTGGC